CTCTCTCTCTCTCTCTCTCTCTCTCTCACTCTCTCTCTCTCTCACTCACACTTCTCTGGCTTTGGGAGGGCAAGAGTCAGCCTATCTTGTTTTCTACTTTCCCAGGGTTGTATGAGGGCCTAATCCAGAACTGGAAGTCCCAATGTGGTCTACACGACATCTCAGCATGGGCTGTGATAGATTGGAATCTGTGACACTGAGCAGAGTAGCATGGTGGAGGGACAGCCTAGGCCCAGGGGTTCCTCCCGGGACAGGCCCAAGGGAGCCCCTGCTACCTGGCCCCCTGGACTAGCTGTTCTTCCTGCCCTAGTTCATAGGATGTGGGAATACAGCATTACAGCTGAAGGAGGGTAGGGGACCCAGTGTGGAAAGAAATCTGTCTTGTTGATCTGAAGAGATTAAACCAAGAAGTGTGTACTGCCCTTGCAATTTATTCTGTGCCTCGACCTGCCTGTCTATTCATTGTCCAGGTTTATGCATTCCTCATTCATAGGGTTGTTTCCCTTTGAGCTCATTCCCTAAGTAGCATCTTGGTACAATGGAAAGTATACCGTACTGGGAGTCAGAAAACTTGGGTTCAAATCCTGGCTCTATCATTCATTACTCTTGTGACTTTGAGAAAGTCACTTTCTTTGTTTGGGTCCCCACCTCCTAATCTGTAAAATGATTGAACTCTTGATCTCCAAGGTCTTTTCAAGCTCAAAATCCTAGGACTGTGTGAGTGTCCATGTAGCAGGATAGATAAAACTGGATTAGGAGTGAGAAAGAACTGGGTTCAAATCCTACCTTAGACACTAGCTGTGTGACCTTGGACAAGTCAACTAACCTCTCTAAACCTCAGTTTCCTTATCTGTAAAGGGTGATAGTAATAGAATCTAACTCACAGGGTGGTTGTATCAAATGAAATATTTGTAAAATGCTTTGCAAATGTTATAAAGAACTACATAAATGTCAACTATTATCATCATCATCATTGTGACCTCTAAGGTACCTTCTGGCTGTCTTGCAGCCTCTTCTGTCTTCAGCTGTCTGTCCATGCCTCTCCCAAACTGCTTCTGTCCCCTCATCCCGTCCTTCGCTTTCTGGCCCACAGGATAGCTCACTATTGAATGTGCCCCAGCTCCTCCTGCCCCCTGCCCGGTATGCATCCACACAAGCTATCTCTTGGGTTGCTCTTTCTGAGGGCAGAAAACAGAAACGGAATCACCCCCCCCCCTCGGGGCTCCAGTATGAGAGATGAGTGGCATCACCATGAGACAATTGGATACAAAATCATAGAAATGCAGAACATTAGAGTAGGATGGAATCAGGGAGCTATTCTAATCCAACCCCCACGTTTTATACATGAAGAAACACAGACCTGTAGAGGGGCAATGATCTGACAAAGGTCATGTTAGAAGGCAGCTAGTCAGAGGGCACTTGAACCCAGGTATTCACATTTAGGGCTCTCACCACTGGGCTATGCTGCCTTGTGAAAGTGTAGCGATATTTAATGGCCAGGGTATAGTTTATAGTCAGGGACAAGGGTCATGAAATGTGGGTAGTGATGTTCAGTGAGCAGGGACAGCTTATATTCAGAGACAAGAATTCTAGTAAAGTGTGAGTATACTGTATATGCAGGAACTTGTAAAGTGTGGGTAAACGTGGGTATAGCCCGCAGGCGCTTGGCTTATGTTCGGGGACAAGGGTTGTTATCAATGTGGGTAAGAAGGCTTTCTCCCATAGTCTAACTCCCTTTTCTCTATGAAAAATGTATGTGTATGGGGGGTGGGTTGGGGTGGGGTGACTGTGCTTCCCTCCAGGTTAAGCACATGCTCAAACAACTGAAACATCTGCCTTAGCACTTAGGGCTGCTTAACGTGGACAGCAGGAGCCTGAGTCTTTTGGGAAACGAGTTTTGGTCTCTCTTCCTGGAGGATGTTGGCCTGTTCAGTCAGTCCCCAGCCCCCTCAGACCCATTTAGAGGTGGGGTGAGGAACACGTAGGGTTTATGCTTCAGCCATTCCACTCATAAGGTAGTAAAGGTCTGTGGTCAGTCTCTGTGGACCTTCCCAACACCTTGGGGGCCGTAGAAAGAATACTGCTCGCTGGTCAGAGGCTGACAATCTTGGGACTGGCTTGTTCTGAGAATGGCTGCGCAATTCTTTGTCTCTGAATCAAATCATGAAATCCCTGTCTCCTAGGCCCTCGTGCCCTGCCCCGAGTTTGCCCTTTGCTCTTACAGGGATCAAGTTAGTGACCTAACACAGTATCCCTTCTTGGCTCAGTATGGGGAGTCAACCAACTGCTTAAGGTTTTGTAGAGCCTAAAAATATTCAGCGTGGGAGGGATAGTAGAGATGATCTGAGTCAACTTTTCTGATTTTACATGTAAGGAAGTGAAGGTGAAGTATCTTGTCAACTGTGACCACTACCACCACCTAGCATTTATATAGTGCTTTAAATTTTGTAAAGCGCTTTACTTTAACTCATTGGATCCTTGCAACAACCCTGGGAGGTAGGTGCTATGGTTATCCCCATTTTACAGAAAAGGAAACTGAGGCACATAGAGGTCAAATACCTTGTCCTTATAGCTAGTAAGTGAGGTAGGACTCCCACTCCAGTCTCCCTGACTCCAAGTCCTATGCTCTAGCCATTGTGCCACCTAGCTGCCTCAAGGCTGCACAGTTGCAGAGATAGGGCACGAACCCAGGTCTCCTGAGTTTTGCCCACTCTACCATCCTGAGGAACCAAAATGAAAGCGCTTTTCCCTCCTGGGTTGATGGTGCATTGGGTGACAGAATGCATGTTGCCTGCTTGTCCCATTTCCCATTCCCCTGGATTTGTGACCTAACATAAGACGCCTTCTTGGCTTAGTATGGGGAGCCAAACAACCGCTTACTGTGTCACAGAACCCTAAAAAGAATTATTCAAGAGAGGGACATTAGGGAAGATCTGGGTCAACCTTCCCAACTTGACATGTGGGAAGTGTAATTTCTCCCTCTTCCCCGTCTGTGGCTCAGAGCTGCTGTGGCTCGGGGTCTGGTGCCCACCCCTTCCCCGGAGCTGGTAACTGACTCTTCCAAGTCAGAAAGGATCCCAAAATCCATCAGAGTTCCTGTGGAGACAGCCCTGGGACAAAGGCATTGGTGTGAGGAGACAGGCATGAGTCCCCCCAGCTCCGGGTCCTGTTTCTCATAATCAAAGGGATCACTTTCTGACTGGCAAGAAGCTTTAATCCATTTCCTGCCCTCCCCAAACATAACAAACAGTTTCAAACCCAAACGACACACATAATATCAAAAGAAAACAAGGGAGACCTAACAGGATCTTCTACATGGAAGGGGTGAGCGTTATTTCTCCCCCACCTCTGCCTGATCTGGAAAAGACCCATGCTCACTCTAGTGAGACCCACTGTGTGCTGGGATCAGGTTCTTCCAACACCCCAGTTCTGTCCTGAGTGGGCTGGAACCCACTTCCTTTACTTCATAGAGGAAGTCGCGGTTCTAAGTGGCCCCTGTCCCTGAGCAGGTGGAGCCAGGCAGGAGGCCTTTTCCAAATGGCCTTTCGAGAGGCTAGATTAGCACCATCAGCTTAGGGGTGGCTTCATGCCTGGATGTCCCACAAAGCAGGCCTGTGGGTGGGTGGGTGACTGGACATTAGGATCCGCACAATTTCACGCTTAAGAATGGCTCTGCTTTACTGAGACTCCACCTATTTGATTGAGAATTCCTGCTTCAATAGGAATCTTATGAATGGAGACAAAGGACAAGACAGGGTCATAGCACGTAGAGGTGAAAGGGGATCTTCAAGATCATCTTCTCCAACCCCCTTCCCCATTTTACAGATGAGGAAACTGAGGCCCAAGGATCCTGTCTTGTCCAAAGTCACACAGGTAGTAAAAAGTCAAGCTGGGGTTTCACCCCACATCCTGACTCCAAATCTTAGGTTCTTTTCATGACACCACAGGACTGGCCAAAATCCCAGCTTCCCTGGGGGCCATGCTTAGTGGAAGGTCCTTTCCTTCATGGGATGGAAATGGATATGAGGGGAAAACAATCTCAAAATCTCTGGTATTTTTAGGAACTTCCACTGTTGAATGCTACCTTTGTTCTTTTCTTCGAGGGCCTGCTTCCCTTCCCCTTGGGAAGAAAGCAGAGGCCTACACCCTCCCTTTAGAGGAGAAGGAGGCCCCTAAGGAAGCACTTGGCCATCTCTAGGTTGAATCTCCCAGTCAATCCGACGTACAAGACAGTGTCCGAGTACTGACTGACTGAGTCTTTGAGGCCAGTGAGGGATTTGCTGACAGTGTTGAGGTTAATCTTGAGCAGAGTGATTTCTCCTTGGAGAGAGTTGGTCACTGCTTCCTCCCAGTTTTCCCAGTCAATCCGAGCACTGAGTGTCCTTATACCTAGAAATGGAGGCTCCTCATAGAGGTGCAAAGCTGCCACAAATGGGAAAGGAGTCCCAGGAGGAAGAGCTTTCAGTCTGAGCTACCCAGGCATGGAGACCTTGGAGATCCTGCTGAGAACACGGTCTGAGGGAGGCCTGAAGGAGAGGCGTGGATGGCATGAGGGTGGGAAAAGAAGAAGGAATCTGGTTTCCATGGAACAAAGGAGAATGGAAGTCTTGGGAGAAGGCTAGCTCGTCCTGGTGAGGGAGATAAAATCTAACAGAGTCATTGCCCAAGTGAACACAAATGTCTGGGGCTTGGTGGCTAGAAACCTGTGGGCCTGGTGTGGTTGAAAAAGCCTGAAAGAGGCTGCAGAGTCCAGTCCCCTTCCTCCAGGCATAACAACCAACATCCACGACACTCCTAGATTTTCTAGTTTGAGTTGCATCGAGAATGGCTGGTGCATGTTGTATTTTGACAATTAAGGTGGCTTCATGAGCCACGTGATAATGAATTGAGATGATGGGAATTATCCTGAAAGTGCCCCAAAATGGTTTTTCAATGTGTGGGTGGGGTGACTTTTGGCGGCAGAAAAGAGAACCTCAAGGGGCTTGAGCCGAGCTTGATCCTGCGTCAGCTTTGTCTAGTTCTCCTGCTGCTCTCCGGGCACTGGCAGAGGCCCGATGTGCTCGGACAGTTCAGCCACTTTGGCCTGGCAGTCCATGAGGCCATCCCGAAGGCTGATGATTTCCTGGGAATGGGCATCCAAGGTTCTGTTCAGCTGGTCCATGTGACCCCACAACCCCCCTACCCGTCTCAGGACCTCATCCTGAAGACCGTCCAGGCCTCCAGCAATAAGGCCAAGCTTCCCACAGGCGTTCTCTACCTGGGCCACCCGCTGCTCAAAGTGGCCCACCTCCTGCTGCACTTTCCTCGCTGCATCTTGGCAACTGCTCAGGTCACCAGCAATCCTGGCTTTGAGCCTCTCCAAGTCCCCCTGGAGGTTTATGACCTGCTTGTTACTCACCAGGAGCCTGGATCCCTGATCACTAACCTTGGCTTGGATCGAGTGGACCTCATCCTCCACTCTCCGCTCCCGTTCATCAAGTGAGGAGTTGACGTAAGAGACAGTGTCCGAGTACTGACTGACGGAGTCTTTGAGGCCAGTGAGGGATTTGCTGACAGTGTTGAGGTTAATCTTGAGCAGAGTGATTTCTCCTTGGAGAGAGTTGGTCGCTGCTTCCTCCAGCTGTCTCTGGATTTCAGAGACAGTGGCATTGAGCTTCTGAAGGAGGTCGGCGTTGCTGTCAACCTGGAGCAACAGGGCTCTGCTCTTGCTCTGACATTCTTTCACTTCTGTGGTGAGGGTCTCCATATCTTTAGATGTGGAGCCAGCAGAACATGAGCTTTCCAGTGAGGTGAGCCTGCTCTCCACCACAGCCAGCTCCCGGATGGTCTGCTGCCGAGTGCTGGCCAAATCCGTATCCACCAAGGGCAGGGTGGCTCCTTCCATAGATCTCAGGGTGCTGATGTTTCCCAACTCACCTACGATGGTCATGAACCGATCCTCTATGGTCTGCATTCTATCCTCCACTGTGGTTCTGATGCCATCTAGCTCAGAGCCTACCAAGCCCTTCATGCTTTCTTCTAGATCTTGGCAGCAGCCACCTGCCCCTCCCTCTGTAGCATTAAGCCTGGACTCCAGGTTTTCTAATCGCTGATCAACAAAGTTGTCCAGGATGGTGGTGGAGATTGGGCTCATTTCCCCATCTAACTGGGAGGCCTCACTCCTCTGAGCTTCAGCAAGGGTGTGCAGACCCTTCTCAAGGATGTCCATCCTTTCAGTGACAAAAGTCAAGTGGCTACAGCAGTCCTCCACCATCGTCAGCCCCTGGATCTGAGTCTCCAGCAGTGAGAGTTCTTTTTTGATCTCCAGCTCCTTGCCATCCAGGCTCTGCTGGAGCCTGAGGCTAGTGGCTTTCTCCTCCTCACACTGCTGCTGCATCTCCTTGATGCGGAAGTCGCAGGTGGTCTGCAGGTCGAGGAGTTTCTTCTCAAAGCCGTCCAGCAGGTCACCCCAGAGATGGCTCAGTCTCTGGTCAATGTATTCCTCCAGCAGGGTCAGGGAGGTGAGGGGGGATGGCCGGGTCCCCTCTAATAGGTGTTTTATCTGAGTATCGTGACCCAGGACCAGGCTGTGAACCTCATCCAGCAGGCTGGTCTTGGTCTTGAGGACATCGCTTACCTCCGTCACCTTGGTCAGGATCTCCCCTAGTGTTGGGAATGGGCCCCCTGCTTTGTCTGCAGGATCCACAACTCCACCAGGAATGATTCCAAAGCCCACAGAGGCATCTGGAGCAATGGGGGGGTTCCCCAGGGCACCAGTCATCCTGCTGCTGTCCTCGTGAACAGTCAGCTGGAAGTGGTCTCCTAGCCCAGCCACAAGTCCACTGAGGGTACCATAGGACTGCGTGAGGCGCTGGACTTCGCCCTCCAGCCGAGCTAGCCTTTCACCAAACAGCCCAGGGCCTTTCCTACCTGGGAAAGAGAAAACAGAATAACAGGATATAGATATGGGAGTTCCGCTAGACCAGGGGTGGGGAACTGGCGGCCTCGAGTTCAACTTCTAGCCTTTCCACGCTGTCATGTTTCATGACAATGATAAGTCCAACTTCACATTTGGATTCAGTCAAAGGGCTGCACTTGAGGACCTAGAGGGTCACATGTGGCCTCAAGGCTGCTGGTTCCCCACCCTTACCCCAGACATACTCCTCACTCACCCTCCAGGAAGGATCATAGATTGATAAAGACTAGAAGGGACCTTTGGAGGTCATCAAGCCCACTCCCTTCATTTTACAAATGAGAAACTGAGGCCCAGAGAGGGGAGATGACTGCCCAAGGTCACACAGTGAATATTCAAAATCATACCCAATTGGACTCCCCACCCTGCCCCCAAGTCACTAGTTTCCTTAGTGGGGTGTGGGAAAAAATGTAGAAGGAGGTTCTGGGTACTTTGTCCTTGGCCCCTGCCACTCTCCCAGCTTGGAATGGCCTGCGTGGTACTATAGGCCTATATAGGCCTAGCTTCTATTGCTTTGTTTCAGAGAAGTCTCTAGGCTCACCAGAGGGATGGCTCTTTGGTCCTGGAAAAGGGCTGGTGGGCAGTCTGGCATAAGGAGGCACTCTGGGGCCTGGAAATGGCTTCTGCCCAGAGGGAGTCTGGGGGCGTGGCTGAGGTAGAAGAGTTCCCGAGTCAGGGAGAGGATCAGAGCAGCCATCTCCTGCCAGGCCCTGGCAGCAACGCCAGGCCAGCTCTGTGATGGTCTTGTAGCCAATCTTGTATCTGGGTCTAAGGAGAGTGCGGTACCTGGGATGGAGAGGAAATTGTCTTCTTTCACTAATGATGATGATGATGATAACAATAAGAGCTAGTACTCACTCTTGAATAGACCACTCAGCACAAGCTGAACTAATGTCCTGGCTTCTGGATCTGGGTCCTTGTCCCCTGCCCCTGTTCAGATCAGCCCAACCACATAGCCCTTGGCCTAAAAGAAGAGAGACAAGCAGTGGAGAAGGGGAAAGAAGAGAGGCTGTCATGGTTCAAGACGATGACATCCTGAACATACCATGGTAATAACTGCCCTTTTTGGTTCCTGACAACAACCTTGTAAGGTCAGTCTTGAAAGTGTCATCCTCATGTTAAACGATGAAGAAACTGAGTCCCAGAGAGGTAGAAATGACAAGCTCATGGTCACTCAGATAGTACCCAAGCTGTGACCCAAATCCTCATCTGTAAAGGTCAAAATAATTGTGCAGAGCTAGCTTTCCTCCCCTCCCTCACAACTCCCCCACCTCTTTCTTGAGAAGCAGTAGTGGTGGGTTCAGGTTACGTGACTGGGGCTTCTTTTACCAGGGGACAGAGGGAGGAGGTGATGATAGTGGATATCCCACTATCTCCACCATTTTCCTGGACTGAGGCTACAGGATCTCAGATGTCCAGGGCCCTAAATATTGCCTGAAGGGCCTTCCCTTGGTCAGTATCATCTGCTCTTTCCCTTTTCATTCTCCTTTTAGTCTAGAGATGAGGCAGAACATGGGGTACCACAGAGGATACTGCAGGTGTATCCTTTACCACAGGCCAAGCAGGCATAGCTCCTAGGAAGTTGCTGAGTGTCCCTACTCAGCCTACATCTGGAGTGTTCTGTAGTTCTGTGTACTATTGTAGAAGAACGATCTTCTACTGATGATCACAGGATGATAGATTTCAAGCTAGGAGGAATATTAAGAACTCATCAAGTCCAGCCCCCCATCCCCATTTTACAGATCATGAAACTGGGGCCCAGAGATGCTAAATGACTTGACCACTCATGCTGCTCATAAGGATCCGAGGATGAATTCAAATTCAGGTCCTTATGGTTCTGAATCTAGTACTCAACTACTCCACATTGGGCATCCAGAGGAGGGCAGCCATCACTGTGAAGCGCCTCAAGTCTACACAGTAGGAGGACCAGGTGAAGGAACAGAGGTGAGTGGGAGGGACAAGGGTAATAGCTTGAAGGAGAGAAGGCTTAGGGAAAATGGTGGCTTCTTTTGAGTGCTTGATCAGCAATAATCGGGAAGAGGGATTCAGTTTTTTCTCTTTGTCCCCAGAGAGCAAAACTAGGAGAAATGGAGGGAGGATGCAAAGAGGACAGCCTGTAACTAGCAGAGGCATGTGAACAAAGAATAAGGGGCCTCAGGAAGAGATAGGATCCCCATAACTGCAGGTCTCCAAGCTAGGTCTGGAGGAACACTTATAAGATGTGTTGTAAAGGAGATTCTTTTTCAGGTATGGGTTGCACTAGGTGGTCCACAAGGTCCCCTCCACCTCTGAAAGTCCATTGTGTCCTTGAGAACTGACTTAAGTAAGGGATGCTATGGATAGAGCTTTGGCTAGAATCCCATCCTGGCTGAGAGGCTCACTGCTCTCTGTAGCCATAGGAGGGGTGACCAGATACTCACAGTATTGTTTTTCCCTCTTTAGGGAATGCTCTCAGGCTCTGAGCCACAAGTAGAGGCCGAGAGGTGTCAGAGAAAGCATGCTGGGCTTGGGATCTGGAGACCTGAGTTTGAATTCCTAGCCTGACACCTTAGAGTTGTCTGCCTTTAGACAAGACCTTCTATTTCTTGGAGCCTCTGTTTTCTCATCTGCAAAATGTGCCGTGCAAACTGGAGTTATCACTATGTCCACATCTGCTTCTGCCTGAAAAACATAGATGCTTCTGGCATAAACCTCAAATATCTCAAATCATCCCCACCTGCCAAGCTCCAAGCTTCCCCCTCCTTCCAACCAGCTGAGGTCTGAGCACTTCTAGCTCAAGAATCCTAACCTCTAGACGTACTTATTCGACCTTTAGTAAGGGTAGGGAAGGGAGAGGGGATGAGAGCTGGAGTCTGAGACGGCTAAGACTTGGGCAGGATTGACCTTGTGACTTCAGGGGCAAAAAGCTGAGGACAGGCTGGTTACTGAGTCCTGGAAAAGAGCAGCACAGGCTTGGATGCCTCTCCTCTGCTGGCCCCGCGTCCTCAAGTAGGAAGGTAACGCTGGTGGGAGAACTGAGGTGCTGAGCAGAGGCAGGAGGGGTGAGTGGGAACAGTGGTGGCTGGGGAGCCCGGGAGTCATCCTCCTTCCCTGCCTACCAGGCAGAGAACCCCATACACTCCAGCCTCTTGGCTCCTGTCTGCTCCCACTGGAAAGGTCCACATGACTTGAAGATTTCCACTCCTCCCGGGCCTGTTCCATGATCTCAGCGGCAGGCAGCATGACCGCCTGGCTTTCTAGGATTCAGGGGGAGGCTGGAGGGCAGGACTGTACAGGCTGACTCTCTTGTTCCCACTGCACATACAGATGCCCAGGCAGATGTGCATCCTCACACAGACCCACGCCTACACACTTTCTCAGAGGCATCTATACATTGGCATACCTTCACATGCACGTGCATAGACATGCACATGCATAGACATGCACTTTGAAACACACACATCCACACATAACTACACACTTTTCCAGAAACAAATCCAGCTACACGCTGCTCTAACCTTCCATAGATGCCCATGCATAACCACTTTCCAGGAGACATACGCACACTTGTATTGACACACGTCATACAGACACACAAGTACACATACCTTCTAAGAGACAAATACACAGGCATACTTTCCCCTTCATGTATATACACGCAAAAACACATGCTCCACAGATTCACACATATACATTTCCCATACACACACACACACACACACACACGTGTACACACACACACAAACGGTCTTAACCTCGCATACATAATGCCTACTTGACTTAGTCCAGGGTTTCTTAACATTTTTGGTGTCCTGGACCCTTTCGGCAGTCTGGTAAAACCAGCCCCTTCTCAGAATAATGGGGTTTTGTTTGTTGTAAATTCATAATTGAAGGAAATACTGAATTTCAGTTAGAGGTTAGTGAAAATAAACTTGTGATTTTTTCCCCATATAAGTTCACAGATTCCCTAAATTCTGTCCAGGCTAAGAATCCCTGGTATAGATACCCACCTCCTTCTCTCTATTTCCTCACCATCTGACCTTTCCCCAACAACTCCCCAACACCACTTCTCTGAAACTTCACTCTCCAAGACTACTGGTGAACTCCTGCTGTCCAAATCCATAAGGTAATTTTTGGGTCCTCATCCTTGCAACACTGGACACTGTTGATCACTTCCCTTTCTTGGAATCTCCCTCCTCCCTTAGCTTCTGTGGCTGTACTGTTCCTCCCCCATAAGCTAAATTCTGACAGGTACTCACACCACGGTTCCTGGGCATTTGGGGCCCCAGCTGCACTTGTGATACTCCGCCTTGATGTAGCTCTCAGCCCCATCCTGTAAAATGCATGTCACGTTCTTCTGGACCACATAAGCACAGAGCATGCTGGGAAGGCAGAGCAGTCTGTCAGGGTCGCTGGCTGGAATGTCTCCCCTCTTAGAATACATTTCTCCTCTCCCCCTCCCCATCCCATATTCCTTCCTCCCTTTACTTCTCAGCATAAATCCTTGGTATCAGACATTACCCACCTCCCAAACAGGTCTCTCTGCTTTTCTTCTTAAGAGCCTTCCTCTGGACACAGACCCAGAGGCTGCCTGACCCTTAAACTCCAAGATAGCTGGAGACTGCAATGTTAACCCTGACCATTAAACTAGAGTTCTAGTTCTGCTCTTTATTATTATTTGGGAATTTTAGAATTCTAAGCTTGGTAACCATCAATAAAAGCAAATATTTAAATACAATTAAAAACCATCATACATGAAATCACAAATTTCAAATTCTTACAATGTTAAAAAAAAGTATATATGGCCTTAATAAAATTTTTAAAATCTTGTTTGTTTTGATATTTCCTTTGATGTTCTCATCTCTTTTTTCTCTTTGTATTTTTTCGTATTTTGTTGCTGTTAGCTTTGTATAGCTGAAGTCAGTATGCATTGCTGGTTTTGCATAATTTTCTGTAGTTGTAGTTAGTATAGATTGTTCTCAAGCTGTTTTCTGTGTTACTTTATGCAAGCATTTCTTTGCTTCTTTGTAGTTTTCATATTAGTTTTTTCTTAGGGTGCAGTAATATCCCTATGATACCATGATTTACTTGGCCAGTACTCCGATAGATGGGCATAGAACATCGATCACTTGCTGAGGGTTCTCAGACACCACCCAGTGGAGGGAACCACTTTCAGAGGATCAGTGCCTCAATTTGTGATAGTTTAATTATTCAGGTTCCCAGGGGGTGCTAGAGACCCTCTTACTATTGCTTGGGGCCCACCTTTTAATTCCTCCACTGACCAAGCCCCACTCAGTTTCCCCAGACCTGCACTCCTCAAACCCAGGGTGTCTCAGTCACCCTCTTTCATTCTGGTACTGTGATCCCACAGATTTTAGCACATGGACTCAAGAGATTCCACCATACATTCCTAGAGAAGGCTCTAGGAGGATGTCTGGGAAGATGAAAGAGTGAAGTCAAAGGAAGCCCACATCCTCAACATCTCCCTCAAAACCATCAGTGGACATGTAAAACTAAAGACACTGGCAGAACTTCGAGGAATCCTTAACAGCTCACGTTCATATACACTTGAAGGTCATATAGTACTCAAAGGGTGAAGTGCTTTCCATGTATCATTTTGTTTACTCCTAACAATTTTGTGCTATTAATTATTCCATTTAACAGATAGGGGAACTGAGGTTTTGAGACACTAAGTGACTCAGGTCACCTTTGAATGTCCAGGGGAAGATTTAAATCCCTGTCTTCCTAATTCCCTAACACCCACCAAAACGCCACAGGAAAAAAAATGGCATTAGCCTTACAACTTGTCCCCTTGCCTCCAGGTTCTTCCCTCTCATCCAGAGTCAGAGGACCTGGGTTTGAATCTAGGCTATGGCATTTAATAGCTGTATGACTTTGAGCAAGTTGCATGCTTTCTCTGAGCTTAATCTCCTTCCTAGTAAATTGAAGAGGTTGTGTTAAATGATTTCTGAGGTCCCGCTAACCTTAGATCCCATGGTCTAGATAGCCCCTTCAGGATTGGTTTGGTCCTTATGGGAAAAGCCTCTCAAGAGGATAGAAGCCTCTGTTTTTATCAATGAGGAAGCTGGGACTCACCTAAAGCAACTGACCCAAAGTCCCATAGGGACTCCCATGCTTGGAACCCTGGGCCAAGCACCTGCTGTTCATGGCCTGCTGAGGGAGTTCATGGCCCAGGAGATGACTCCCACGCCCCTCCCAGCTCCTGAACATCAGGCACACATGCGGAGCGTTGGCTGAGGCTCAGGGCACGGAGAAACCTATGCTGAGACATCTAGAATGAAAACAGCAGCACATTGCCTCAGAGCCAAGCTGGAGAGCAATGAGGTGGACCCGGAGAACTGAGGCCAGGGAAAGCACAAACAGGCCCCTCCAGGTCCAGGAAGACCCTATGTTGTCTACTTACCCTTTGTTTCTCTAGCCCAGTGATCAGACTGGTGTACCAAAGGGCATTGCCAGAAGGGGGCTGGGAGGATTGGTGAGGGGAGACCAGCTGGGGGGTGGGTCTGGCCTCTCAGACAGCCCCTCCTTCCTCTCTCAGCACCTGGGGCCGGGTTCTCTAGCTCTGCCTGATGTTTGCACTTCAAGCAGCTGGAAAATGTGACTTTCCTGGAAATGTTTCCGTGGGCATGGCCAGTGTTCCAGTCTCCATCCTATTAGGCCTCCTTTGGCTTATTTGTCTTCCCAAACCCCACATCCTTCCCTTCCTGGCCTTCTGAAGCAAGGACATAATTCTCAAGGAAAAAAAATGCCCTCTTGATTCTTCCTTCCCCACCCCAGCACCCACATCACCTTTCCAATCCCTCCTCCCAGGAGGATACAAGAAGAGAGGAAAGAGAGATGTGAAAGGAGAAAAGAGGGAGAAGAGAGAAGGGTGATGCCAGGGAAGGGGAAGGAAAAACACCAGAGAGGGAGGTGAAAGCAGAAAAGAAAAGAGAGAAGGTTGGGGTGGGGGGAAGGAAAAGGAAGAAGAGAGCAGCAAGACCCAAGAAAGGGTGTGGAGAAAGAGGGATTGAGGATAGGAAAGGAAAGAAGAGAGCAAGGGGGGGGGGCGGGGGAGGGGGGGAGCTGCTTCTTACTTGTGCTGCCCCTCGCGGAGCCGCGGGCTGGATCCCGTCGTGTACAGGTTGTAGCGGCCACCGCTGGGCGGGCCGGGCCGGGGAAAGTAGATCCCCTTCGCCTGAGCGCAGGAGATCAGTGTCCCGGCGCACAGCCAGAACCGAAGCCAGCGCGCCCCCCGGTCCGGGGGCCCCATCCCCATCCCCGCCGCCCCCCGGCCCACAAGCTAGGGGCTTGGCACTGATGCGGCTGCTCCCTCTCTGTCTTACTGCCCGCCTGCCTCGGTCCGGCGCAGGCAGAATCGCTTGGGAAGTGTGGGCCTGAGTTTGGTCTCCAAAAGAGCAAGCCCAAATCGGTAGCGGAGAATGTCCCGAGGAGACAGGAGCCCAGCAGGGCTCCCCAGCCCCCTCCTCCCACAGAGCCCGAACCCCTTGAATCCGCTGCTCTGGCCTCGCTCCCCTGAGCCCCCTTCCCCAGATCCACTTTCCTGGAGATCTGAGCCCCCTCCCCTGAAGTCCCGCTCTCGGAGCCCCTGCCAAGCTCCTCTAACACCTCTTTCCTGAACCCCTGCCCCTATCGTCGTTGGAGCCCCTTCTTCCAGATCCCGCGAGCTTCTGAACCCCTCTCTCTGAACCCCGGCCCCCCAGAGTCCCTGCCTTGTCCCTGGACCTCCAGGGAGCCCCTTCGTCCAGCTTGAAGCCCCTACCCTCCTTCCCTGAGTCCCACTGCCTCGAACCCAAGCCCACAGGTCCCTGGCTCGCCCCGCCTCCCGCTGGGCCCCGGCCCTAGGTCTCCGTCTCCCGCTCTGACTCCGGCTCCCGCGCACCCAGGAGCTCGCTACCCGGGGCGGGCTTGTGCTTTTGTAGCGCCTGCGGTCCTGCTGTCTCCACCAGCGCTGGCGGCGGGGCCGGAGAAGGGAGGGGAAGGGAGGGGAGGGGAGGCCGGCGGGAGAGGGGCGGGCTCTCCATAGATTAGCATAAATTGCTCTAGCTCCTTCTCCCTCTTTCCCCAGCCCCCGGACCTCACCCCATCCCGGAGTAGCCCCAAGACCCCGCGATCTTAGGGCCTGGAATGGGGCAATAACCTCTCTCCCCACCCAACTCGGCTCAGGACGGGACCGCGGCTCGGCCTGAACGGCCTCAGGGTGCCCCAGGGTGCCCAGAGTGGGACAAGGACAGGGCCCTAGAACACCGGCGGCTGTTAAAGCGGAGGGGTGGGGGGAAGCTAGCGCAATTCTTAAGGGGCATGTTAGTAGAGGTCTGTTATCCTTGAGTAAGAAAGAGAAGATCACTCTCCAGCGCAGTGACAAGGGGACTGCACGCAGGGTGATGAGTTTTTTCAACCACATGAATTCTTCCAGATGATCCGTCTACTATGTGACGGAGAGATCTTGAGCAGAGTGCGTGGAGGGAGTGTTCACACCGGGAAGATTGGAGATCCCTGAATTACTGAAAAACAGAAATGTGTACAGAAAAAGGTGACCAACTGGGGAAATAGCTGGAGACCACGCCATTTGGAGATCCTTTGAGGGGAAAGGGAGTGTTTAGCTCGAAGAGGTTTAGGAGAAATATACTCACAGGAGTCAAGTATTGAACAGTTATTTTCTGCAAGAGATTAGACTCGTTCTTCATGGTCCCAAAAGGCAGGTCAAGAATCAATGGGTGGCCGTTAGCAGAAAGAAAGATTTTGGTTTCTTAGGGGAAAATTTCCTAACCATTAGAGATATTCCAAAGTGCAATAGGCAACTTCAAAAAGGGGGGGGGGGATGAATTTTCCATCACTGGAGGTATGAATCAAAGAGGGAGGGAGGGTGCTGGAGAGAACACTACTGGCCAGTACAGGCAAGACTAGAGCTTAACCTTTTGGAGCCTCAGTTTAGGAGTTTGCAAAATGAGGAGGCTGGTGGTCTCTAAGACCCTTTTCACAACTAGATCTAAGATCCAAAAATCTCTCTGTGATCCCAGTCTCCCCTCCCACCCTCTCTGAGTCTCCCCTCTTTTCTGCCCACTCTGGACGTTTCTCTCAGGAAGTAGGAATACCCTGATTTGTGGATGCACAGGGCTCCATAAGTCTACCCACTGTTTCCTCTTCTCAGGGGTCACATAGAATAAATGGAATAGCCTCACCTTTTCTCCACACTGCTCCTCTTTCACCTCCCAGAGGAGATGGGCAACATTCAACAACCTTGGACTCAACTGAAATCCTGTCCACTTATCCATCCATTCTTCAGCACTGTACTTGGCTTCCTGAGGTCTGAATCCATATGCCCACAGCAACATTTACTGTATGGCCTTGGACAAATTATTTTACTCTCCAGACCTCAGTTTCCTCATCTTTAAAATGAGTGTAATGATACTTTCAATGACTAGTTCACAGTGTCGGTGGGACGAGTGTACTCTGTAAAATCTAAAGCCCCATAGAAATGGGAGCAATTATTATTATTCAACTTGTTTAGTCATGACCCCTTTTGGGGGGTTTTCTTGGCAAAGATACTGCCATTTGCTTCTCTAGTTCATTTTACAGATGAGGAAACTGAGGCAGACAGGATTAAATGACTTGCCCAGAGTCACACAGGTGATAACTGAGGCCAGAATTGAACTCATGAAGATAAATTTTCCTTACTCCAGCCCTGGCACTCTATCCACTTTGCCAACCTGCTGCAAGGTTCAAATCCCATGTTTTATATATAGGCAACCTGTATGGACCTTTTCTGACCTAGCCAAACCAACGTAATTTCCAATCCACCTTAACCACCTCCCATGTCCCCAGCACTATCCCTAGAGTCAGACGACCTGGATTCAGGCAACTTGCTTAACCTCCTTGGGCCTCAGTTTCCTCATCTGCAAAATGAGTGGGATTAGGCTAGGTGGTCTTTGAGATCCTTTTCTATGATCCTATGATATTTGGATCTCTAATGAAATATAATATTAGTGCTGATTCTTTTGTGAGCTATTTCACAAAATATCCATGGTTTCTTTGACATGAGATCACCCTTCAATCATGCAGAGATTCAATCTCTCTCAGTTAAATTGCTCTGGTAGAGAAAATCCATTCTCTGATGACCAGGTTTCTAATGATAAATTTCTCTTCACTTAAGCAGTTACTCAGAAGACTGAGGCAGCATCCACCATGCAGTTCAAACTTGGTAAGATCTTCCAGAGTTTAGCCTTCCCTGGCACTGCCTTTAAGACCTAAGGTCACTTTCATGTCATGACATCAGAATAGGGCTTCAGTGGAGTTAAATAATATAATATCTAATGACTATTTAAGGAGAGAAGTTCTGGATTTAAATCCTGCTTCAAATACATGCGAATGACTTAACCCTTCACTGCCCCCAGGCTAGTCTCAGATTGTAAATTACGAACCAGTTAAATGTCTGCATAGGTAGAGGTGTTTCCCAGCTCTCCCCCGCCACACAGGGGATTTCCCACATCCGTGAAATCACAACTAGGGACTGCCCCTCCCTCCTCCACTTAAGAGACATCACTCAATATCTTTTCTTTTGTATTCAAGTGGCTTATCAAAGATTGGGGAACACAATAAGCACTTAATAATTGCTTGTCAACTGGTCAGAAAAGGATATGAGTCAGTCATGGATCAAGAATTCTGTACTTGTACCTGTTCAAAAAACTGGCAAGACGCCTTGCTCTTAGCATAGTAAGTGCTTAATGTTTATTGACTGTCTGACTAATTGTTCCGTCATTTGCTTCTTGTGTGTCCTTAGGCAAGTAATTTAACTTTTGGGGAACTCAGTTTTCCCATTTGCAAAATGAGGGAGTTTGACTAGATGACCTCTGGGGTCCCCCCCAGTTCTCCATCTATGATCTCATGACCCTAAGGTCTCTGGCACTCTTGGTGGACTCAGTGAAGATATATGGAAGAACATGGATAAAAATCATACAGGCTAAGCTGGCATTGAAAGAATATGATCTGCAGCAGTGGAAGAAGGATCCATGCCAAGAAAATCATGGACCTACTAAAGTATCAATAAATAATGAGAGCAATGATGTAGCACTGGGACCCAAGTGATGTCAAGAGACCCAGAGGAAGGCACATAGGGTATACGCAAGATGGAAGTTGTACTGGGGGACATGGGTAAGGATGGCACAGACTGCAGAAGTGACTTTGGGATGGAGAGGGGACCCTCATCCACATTGTTGATCCTAGCTCCATCTAGTTATCAAACTAATCAATCACTTAATCAACAAGCATTTATCAAGCAATTACTAGGTGCCAGGCACTGTGCTAAGTGCTAGAGATTCAAAAGTGAATAACTCCTGCACCTCAAGGATCTTACATTCTAAGGGGAGAAACATATATTATGGGCATATACAGAATATGTGCAAAATTAATAAGAGATAGTTTGGTGAAGTAAAGAGTACAATAATAATAAATGTATCTTCACACAATATCTTCACACAAAATTGAAATCTTATAGTAGCCTCCAGTAAGATAGATAATAGTATACCAAGATAAGCTCAAAATGGCTCCATGGTGTAAATATGAAGGATGATACCATAAGCAAATTAGGAAAGCAAAGAATAGTTGATCTGTCAGATCTATGGACAAGGGAAGAATTTAGGACCAAACAAAAGATAGAAAGCATTAAGAGATGTAAAATGGATAATTTGATTATATTAAATCAAAAAGATTTTACAGAAACAAAACCAATGCGACCAAGATAAGAAGAAAAGCAAAAAGCCAGGATAAATTTTTACAGCCAGTGTCTCTGATAAAGGCCTCATATCTTGAATATATAGAGAATTGAGTCAAATTTATAAGAATCCAAGTCATTCCTCAATTGATAAATAGTCAAAGGATATGAACAAGCAGTTTTCAGACCAGGAAATCAAAGTTATTTATAGTCATGTGAAAAAAAAATGCTCTAAATCATTATTGATTAGAGAAATGCAAATTAAAATAAATCTAAGGCACCACCTCATATTTACCAGATTGGTTTATATGACAGAAAAGAAAAATGAGAAATGTTGGAGAGGATGTGGGAAAATTGAGACACTAAAGTACTGTTGGTGGAGTTGTGAACTGATCCAACAATTCTGGAGAACAATTTGGAACTATGCCCAAAGGGCTATAAAACTATGCATATCCTTTGATACAGCAATACCACTACTAGTTCTGTATCTCAAAGAGATTTTAGAAGGCAGGGGAGGCCCTATCTGTATAAAAATATTTATAGCAGTT